TTTTTTTTTTACATTTTAATCCCTCCATTGAATATATTTTCTTAAGAAAATAAATAAGCGGGCCTTAATTTAAAATATGAAGCGAATATGCGGCAGTCAAACCGCGCAGCCCACCAATCAAAGTTTAAAAAATTATTATGACATATATTTATAATAATTTTCACCTCATTTAATATCCTATTTACATTTTAGTCCCTCGTCGCAAACAGGATAAGAACGCCGGGCCCTACCCATCCGACGGCCCTTATCCTCCAATTCTCCACGTGTCAAAATTTCCTCATTCCGCATCACGATCCGAGCCACACCATCTCCTGAACAGGAGAGAGAGAGAGAGAACAAGTTCCGGAGTGAGAAGGCAGAAGGGGGGAGAGAGAGAGAGGGTCTTCTCGGCGGTGGATGGATGGCGGCGGCGGCGATGTTTCCCGACGAGGTATGGGAGTACGTCTTCTCTTTTGTAGAGGGCGATGTGGACCGGAACGCGATCTCGCTGGTTTGTCGCGGATGGTACGGGATCGAACGGCGTTGCCGGCGGAGGATCTTCGTCGGAAACTGCTACGCTGTTTCGCCGGAGATGGTGTTTCGTCGGTTTCCGGAGGTGAGGGCCGTGAGCATCAAGGGGAAGCCTCACTTCGCTGATTTTAACCTCGTGCCGAGTGGCTGGGGCGGTGGGGCGGGTTTGTGGGTTGAGGCTTTGGTGGAGGCGTGCCCGCAGCTGGAGGAGCTTCGGCTCAAGAGAATGGTGGTTGCTGATGACTGCCTCGAGCTCATTGGGAGGTATTTTCGCAACTTTAAGGTGTTGTCACTTACTTCGTGCGAAGGATTCAGCACCGCCGGACTGGCATCGGTTGCCAGAAATTGCAGGTGAGGGATTCGTGATTGTGTACTCTGATTTATGCTTCATGTTAAGGTTTTTTTGGCTGTTACCGGGCGAGGTGTAAGCCCCAATGCAGTAAAAATTGATTTGTTAGGTTTTATAGATTATATCCTTAAATTGATTGGCATGTGTTGTGCTTCGCTTGATGTTCTTTGTCTCATGGTTTTTGTGATTGTAGCTTTTGATAGAATACCAAGGGAGTTGATGGTGTAAAAATAGGGTTTTTTTTTGAAAAAAAAAACATCTTTGCTTGCATGGGTGCAGCTCAAAAATATATGCATGATATACAATCTACAGTAATTTATAGAGTTTCTGTTAAAAATGATAATCTTTTTGAATAGAAAATTGATTGGGCAGTAATCTTAGAGTTCATATAAATACAGTTTCAGGTTTATGTACTGGAAATTGAAATTCTGCTCTCCTGAACATTTTCTATTTCTGTTTGGGGCATTTGCATCATACCATAAAATTCTTATGTATTTAAGTATATAACACGAAAACTTTAATATTTACATAGATAACCCTTAAAATCTTTGAGATTACATGAAAAATACCACTATCACTAACTTTCTAAAAATGAGACACACCTTGCAATGCATAGATTCTAAATATAGATGTGTAAATACATAAGAGTTGTGTGGTATGTAATTCAATTTCGGTTTCTATATTCCTTTAGCATACAGTATATGAACAACTAGCTTCTTTTATTTTGATTTATTTATCTTTACAGAAATTTGAGGGAGTTGGACCTGCAGGAGAATGCCATAGCAGATAACTGCAGTAACTGGCTAAGCCATTTCCCCGAATCTTTTACTTCTTTGACATCTCTTAACATTTCATGCCTCGATGGAGATGTTAATTTGTTAGTCCTCGAACGGCTTGTAAGTAGATGCTCTAATCTCAAGACCCTCAGGCTCAATAACATGGTCCCTCTCGATCGGCTTGTCAGCATTCTTGTCAAGGTCCCACAGCTGGTTGACCTCGGAACGGGTAGGTTTTCAGCGGATTCTCGTCCAGACCTTCTCACCAAGCTCGAATCTTTATTTGCGGGGTGCAAAAATCTGAAAAGCCTATCTGGATTGTACGAAGCTGTTCCGGCGTACCTTCCAACGATCTTCTCAGTTTGTGATGGACTTAGCTCACTGAATTTGAGCTATGCCACAATGCCAAGTGCGGAACTTGCAAAGCTAATTACTCGTTGTAAAAATCTGGAGCGCCTATGGGTACCAAATCATCCTCTTTTGTTCTTATGATCTCACCAACTTAG